GATGGAAGCACTCTAACTACATGCAGCAGATCCATGTGGGAGGTGTCCGAACGTGGGAGACGGTGATCTCATGTAGGGAGGTGACACCCTCGGCGGAGGCGACATCCTCGGGGAACACACTCGGCGAAGGTAATAATTGACAGTGCTCCTAAAAAAATAAAAATTACAAATGAATAACTTAATTAAAAAATTATAACAATAATCAACAGATTATATTCAATTAACATACCGTGTCCCGATCCACGATCGACTCAGGCCTCTCTCGAGCAGCACGATCTGTCAACAACTCACGAATATAAGTCTGATCCTCCTCGTCGATCGATGGTGTCAGCTCAGTGAGGTCTTCAAGCTAATATATTGACATTTCATTTAATTATTGACCACATATCGAGATTTCGAAAATGACATACAATAGAAAACGCAAATATATAATATGTACATCAGGATCGTCGAGAATAGTCGATAACTGTTTTGCAAGGGGCTTGTCTTGTACTCGCCAGCAGTGCATCCGAGGGATGCATGTATCCCCTCTCCTCGCATACCGACTAGTCAGGAAGGGGACAGTCTCGTAGACCAAAATCTGCAACAATTACGATTATTATATGTACAATTTAATAAAAAATAGATAACTTATTATGTTATATATTTACCTGCAAAGCTAACGGCATGCCATATATATCGTACTTACGCTCCGGCCTATCTCCCATAGGCATTGAATGCCCACTCCTGAAAATGCGTAAAGTATCGACAAAACATCTCTGCCCCCATCGATAGCTATTGAACGTATCGATATTATCAACAACTTGCAAATGAAAAACGTCAATCGACGTCTTCCCGTGATGACACCTCATTACGCTCTTGAGTATAACCACCGTCCCCAACTTCAACTTGTTGGACATCTGGTCGCATGCTCTGAATGCATCTTCTAACTGCGCCAGTGTTACTATCTTGTGCCTATTAAAATAATCACTCAGCAACCTCTTGTCTGTCGAAATACTGGCCTTCGCTGCCTCTTCGCCCGTACATCTCAATCCAGTGATGAGAGCAAACTCGAATACGAAAAATGTAGCAACCTTGCCCCCAAAATTAAAGTGGAGGGCATTTTCGTCAACTAGTTTAAGCAATCAACATAGTAATGAATCGATCAACTGTCCAGAAAACTGTACAAAGCGTAGCGAATACAGGGGCCATAGGCAAAATCGACGTAATATCCCTGGATGCTCCTCGTCCAATGAATCTAACACTACTGTGAAGTTAACAAAGTTACAGTTTAACGTAGCTTTGTCAGGAACATGTCTCAAGGTGGCATCTAAATAATAATCCATCCTACAAAATTTCAAATGTTAGAACATTTGAAACATAATGTCACAAAATTCAACTAATCCAACTTTAATTAATATACGCACGAAATAACAGATAATAAAAAAAATGAATTAAAAATTAGACAACAAATTATAAAAAGCGAAAATTTAATTTTTGTAAAATTATTTATTTCATAGTTTATTTTAATCCTTGTTAGAAATTTATTTCAATTCGTTATTTAATTAAATTTGATTATTTATATTTAATTACTTATTTAAATAAATTATTTTGAATATTTATATTTCTTAGTTATTTAAATTGTTTATTTTTATTTAAATGTTCATTATTTATTTCAATTGTTAATTTAAATTATTTATTTCAATTGTTTATTTGTTTATTTAACATTTATTTTAATTATTTATTGAATGATTAATTTTAATTATTTATTTAATTATTTTCTTTAAATTATTTATTGAACATTTAAACGTTAATATGAAATTATTTGTTATATTTTTCTTTAGTTGTTTATTCAATATTTATTTTAATTATTAATTGAATATTTAATTATTTATTTTAAATGTTAGATATTTATTTCAATTGTTTATCTACATTTTAATTACTTACTTTGATTATTTTTATTTATTTGTTTCAATTGTTTATTTAAATTATTTGATTTAATTATTTATATTCATTGATTATTTAAATTATTTATTGAACAAGTAAACATAAATATTTAATTGTTTATTTTAAATGTTAGAAATTATTTCAATTAAATTTTATTTATATATTTTGATTATTAACATTTATTCATTATTTACATTTTTCATTTATCATTTAAATAATCATTTAATTATTATTTAAATGTTCATTATTTATTTTTGTGCATTTCAATTAATTATTTATTCCAATTGTTTTTCATTTATTTGTTTCAATCGTTCATTTAAATTATTTGATTTAATTATTTATATTCATTGATTATTTATATTATTTATTGAACAAGTAAACATAAATATTTAATTATTTATTTTAAATGTTTGAAATTTATTTCAATTAAATTTTAATTACATATTTTGATTATTAACATTTATTCATTATTTGCATTTTTCATTTATCATTTAAATAATCATTTAATTATTATTTAAATGTTCATTATTTATTTTTGTGCATTTCAATTAATTATGTATTCCAATTATTTTTCTTATATTTGTTTAAATTGTTCATTTAAATTATTTGATTTAATTATTTATATTCATTGATTATTTAAATTATTTATTGAACAAGTAAACGTAAATATTTAATTATTTATTTTAAATGTCATAAATTTATCTCAATTAAATTTTAATTACATATTTTGATTATTAACATTTATTCATTATTTATAGTTTTCATTTTTCATTTAAATAATCATTTAATTATTATTTAAATGTTCATTATTTATTTTTGTGCATTTAAATTAATTATTTATTCCAATTATTTTTCATTTATTTCTTTTAAGGGTTCATTTAAATTATTTGATTTAATTATTTATATTCATTGATTGTTTAAATTATTTATTGAACAAGTAAACGTAAATATTTAATTATTTATTTTAAATGTTAGAGATTTATTTCAATTAAATTTTAATTATGTATTTTGATTATTAATATTTATTCATTATTTACATTTTTCATTTATCATTTAAATAATCATTTATTTATTATTTAAATGTTCATTATTTATTTTTGTACGTTTAAATTATTTATGGAATACAAAGAAAAAAGTCTGAAAAAAAGAACCGGGCCGTCTATAAACAGACGGACCAGCCGTCTGGAAACAGATGGCCCAGCGTCTGGCTACGTCTCCTCCCTTTCTTCTCCAGTCTAGGTGCCGGAGATTGCCATTTACGACGATCTTCAGCCCAAAAAACCTCAAAAAATGTTATTTCCAATAATTTTACATAATCTATAAAGATTTCTACCACTAATTCGAACAAAATAAACCTTTAACATCCAAGTTCAAAGATTAATGTGGAAAATAAGCATAACTTACCTTCTTTGCCTCTAATGGTGGCCAGTCGATCTCCTTCCAAAAAAAAAGTCGTCGATTTCATTGCTATTTCTTCCCCTTCTTTCTCCAGACGTCGGTTTAAGAGTGATTTGTTAGGGACAATATTGGGTTTTCATTGTTTTTAAGGTTTTTACAGATTTTTCATTTTTTTTTTAAACAGTAGCCACAACCATTTTGAAAAAATGTCTCTTTTTGGTGGCTATTTGCCACCATTTCCTCCATATTCCTCTTCTAACGTATAATTCCACTTGAACACTTTCTGGCCTGAAAAAATACAATGCCATAACTGAATAGTTAAGTGCTTATTATTCTCAATGACAGATATTAGAAAAAAAGAGGTTAATGCCATTGTGGATGAAGTTGTGACATTGCTCAGAAGCCAAATTCTTTGCATCTTTATGCCCACACCAGACACATGGTAGATTCCAATAGCCAATCTCTACTCCAAACTCAAAATCGAAGCCGTTCACCTCCTCTGGTCTTGGCTCGTGCAATGCACGTACCCGAGTATTTTGAAGGTAACATTAATGTTTTGATTGTGTCAAATTCTTTTCTATTTCTTATTTTTCCCTCTTCGTTTATTTATTTTTAAAGTAAAATTTATTTATTTATTTTATTGAAAAAGTGATAACATAGTCATGTTACTTTTCACTACTCAAGTCTCAATCAAATAAAAACGATCGACTGATGGACAAATTCGCTCGTATACATAACAGGGAACATCGAGTGTGGTCAAGCATGCCACTGCAAGTGGCCTTGTGCGCACGTTGCATTTTTTACACACGCGACCATTTGCATTTGTATTCATATGTATCAATATGAGAATATGTGAATGAAGCACATATTTTATCTTACAAACAAACTGAATATAAATCATTTATTTTTTCCCTACAAAATGAAATTTCAATTTAAATATCGGGATTAGTCACAATTTAATAATCAATCACATGTAATCACTTGAAGTTAAAGTAAACTCGGTTCATTCCCATCCCTAGTCCGCATACAACTTGCCAGATTCATTTGCAATGTTCGATTTGGATTGATGTAGGCAATATGATTACACGTAATCAATTTGTCATTCATCGCATGTAATATTCGATTAACTATTCATGCTACACATTTGTTCCTCTGAATTGATGGTCCCGATAAATTTATAACGTTCAAATTATTTGTTTAATCTCAACAAGAAAATTGTAAATAGGACCAACAGCGGTCTAAGCCAGCGTACCGTGACAATTATTAAAAAGCAACAATCTAGCGTCAAAAAAATAATAATAATAATAATAAATTATGTAAACGGACAATTACCTTTAAGAGTGACCTAAATTCTACTGTCTAAAGTGGATTTCATAAGTTGATCTACAGTTCAGGATTTTCTGATGTAGCAGCGGGCTGAATTTTTCGGTTAGGGAAGTTCAGAATTTTTATAAAGTTGGTCCAACTTGTAAGAGCCATGTTGCATGAGAGCAATGGATTTGGCTCTTGGGTAAGTGCAAGTGTACAAATAGCCTTCCACCCTGTACCCTTAAAGGCAATACTTGCGATTTACCTCCCTCACGATGCTCCAGGGCAAAGGTGGTGGGGGACCCTTAAAGTTAGGGTTTAACTTTTTTTTTTTTTCTTTTAAGTATTTCAGCTAAGAAGAAAGATCATAATAATAATATTTTAACTGAGATTACAAGTATGTGCATTAAAGTGGTTCAAAGCTGTCCTCATAATAAACACATGTACAAGACTGTGGGAGGTGAACCTGAAAAAGAACTCACATGGCAGGTATAAAGAGTATATACAACCAAAGTGTGCCCCTCAAAAACGAAGAAGTAATAATCACGTTCCACGATCGATAATCTCTAGCGACATTAATCTACGCAAGGACAGCAGATCTACCTTGCTCGACAACGTCATTCTTCGTATGCACAACATTGGAGAATGGAATTACTTCTTCATTCAGGTATACTGGCGATGATAGAATTCCTCAAAGATTTCAACCAACTGCCATTCATAATTCCTAGACAAGGGGCGACTTTAAACAAATAAATGCATGTTAGCTAAAAAGGAGACCTGTCGTTCCAAATGCAAATATTACCATTCTTGTCCGATGTAGCTAAAGGTTTCCCGAGACCACTCCAGGAGCAAGATAGAACAGGAGCTGTGTGTTCTTTTAGAGTACTTACTATTTTTGCATTTGCTACTGACCAAATATGTACTGATCCATCGACAGATCCAGAAGCAACATAACCATCATCAGCACTGATGCACGATCTGCTCCAGTTCGACGCTACTCTATAACCATTTGAGCGCAATGTGGCGCAAATTTCGAGAGTACGTATATCGAACAAGTTATGCAAGTTGTCTCTACCACTGGTCAAAATCATGTTTCCATTTCTAGATAAAGACAGAGACGTTATAGCTAGTGAATGTGCTGCAACTTCACTTAGAAGTTTTCCCGTCTTAATATCCCACAGTCGGAGATTTCCATCCACATGGCCCGAACAGATGGTCTCTCCATCCATACTGAAACAAAGCGTATTGCAATTACTTTGAAAAAGTAGTGTGTTGACACAGTAACCTTTATGCAGATCCCAAACTTTTATAGTTCGATCATATGCTGCACTCACAACACTGCGGGTAGACACTTTGCTCACATCTACGGCACATACTTTGTCTACATGGCCCGTGAGAGTGTGCCGTACCCGGCCTGAACTTACATCCCATACGTACAAGTTATTTGCACTACTTGCTGCAATGACGGATCTGTTATCATGGGTGATGCAGAGATCAAGAACAGTGCCCAGACAACCATGAAGAGTTTGACTCTGTGACCCCGTGTTTGTATCCCAAATTTTAATAGTCTGGTCCTGCCCCCCACTCATCAACTTGCTTGAATTATACTCAAACAGTATAGAGGCGCAGCCACCGTTATGGGCCGGGATTCTTTGCCTACATGTAGTCGGAATGGGTGATTCTATATAGCACTCAGCACCTTCTTCACTTTGGCGCACTACACCATCCACTTGTTGACGGGCAAGTTGTTCTATACTGCTGACCTTTAGTTGATCTAGTATGTCTCCATAAACAGAATTAGCCTAACACAAGAAACATATAATTAGCATTCAGCAAGACCAACCACAAGAAAACAAGCTTGAAATCAGATGCACTTTTCTTAAGCCGTTAAAGAACCAAATTTTCTAAATAATCGGCCGCATAAAAAGGGGTCAGTATTTTCCAGGAGTTTTGAGGCACTGAAACCTTCCATTTTCAAGTTTCAAAGAATAATAACCAGCATCCAGCTCCATTCCAAGCATTATCATTAGACTGACAGGCTCACAAGAGATTCGACGCTCTAGCAGAATGGCACAATTAAACTGTCGTTTAATATCAGATTCAACAAAGGTGTATGCAGTAAACAAAATTCATTAACAAAGAAAAGAAGTTCGTTACTATTTCATTGAAGATGAATAAGAAATGACCATAATATCGTCGAATACAGCTCATTGTTTTCCTGGGTGGGCGGGTGAGGCAGAGTTGAGTATCAGCATGCAAAATATTGCGAGTTGATCATATTCAAAGAAAGACTATAGTGATAATAATAATTCAACCCACAAAAGTAAGACAATAATACATCGTTTAGGCGTTCAGCATCTTTCATTTTCTGCAACATCCAACGGTCAATAAGCATTTTATTTTCCGCCTCAGCATTACTAGCTCTAAGAGTGGTTGCTTCAAGTTGTTCTTTCAGACTCTGATGCTCATTCATTAACAATTCTAAAGCTTTACTCTTTTCTTCTAAACATGCAGTCAAACGAGAGCGTTCATCCCTGAAAGATAAATAAATTTAGATAATGAAGTAATGCTATATACTACTCTTAATCACAACCCCCACATGGCTCATATCTATTGAAAATAACTTTTTCCCCCAACTAAGGAACAGAAAGAGAGAATGTCAAGACAAAACCTTGCTAGACTAAGCTCATTTTGCAAGTCAGAGATCAGGGCTTCTTTCTCTTGAACTAAAGCTTTAGAAACTCTGGAATCCGCCACTTCCACGACAAGCTGCTCTGATAGTCGAGCTTGAGCTTTGTAACACTGCTGGAGCTCCACTTCAAGACTTTCAGCTTTTTCTTTCCACTCCGATCCCTTCGAAATAAAATGTCGCAGCCTGAGATAGAGCAAATATTTGCAACTACCATACATCTTATTTTACAAATTTGCCTTAGATAGATATCTCAGTGCTTTCCAATATCAATAATGTCCATAAATGAGATGAACTTCTAGATATCATGATACATAACATGAGGAAGAGCCATGGACATAATTATAAACAAGTTCAAAGAACATGAAAAACAACAAGATTCAACATCAATAACAAGCTTTAAAAATCATAGGCTTTGCAAGATCAACTAAAAGCTGTGAGGCCTGAGAGAGAGATTTATTCACATTATTGCTGGAAATGGGTGATGTTTCTTTTAATCATGAAATTTTTTCACAATTATGTCATTCATGGTCGGAAATTAACAATGAGAAGAGGACCAAGGAGTTTAGGTGGGATAAAGCGCGTTAAAGAAAAATATCAAATTAAGTATGATTGAAATGAGAGATTTTGACAAGGCCGTTCACTCTCACATGATTAGTAATTACATGAAAATGAAAATCACTACGCAAAATTTCTGATGCAATTCTGATGCTAAAAAAATATTAAATTCATGTGATTTTCTGGAACAAAAGAGCAATATTTTGAATGCTATTTTCAGTTTTGCTATGTGTTTTCAGTCTCTATGAAACATGATACAATCTATGCACAAAGTACTGGTGCAGATTCTTTTTGACCCACAATTTTGATCCTGACAGCATGAATTATGGGTTCAGCGAAGGAAGGTCTTAGTCACGAAAGAAAAAACTGGGAAGGGTGTAATTTTCTAGTTTTGTAAGTCCACATAAACAAAGATGAGAAAATAATTGCAGATTCTTTACTGCAGAAAACTGCAAAAAGAGGCAATGTGAGCCGCCTTGCATCGTGTTGAGTACTATTTAAAGAAATGACAAAGGGACAACTGTGCAGGTAAAAACAGCTTTCAAGTGACGCATCACGTTGAATTGAGTAAAGATTGACGGACCATCCCAAGTATTGAGGAGATTATGTAGTCCACGCCTTACAATAAATTCACCTATCACGTGAATGTACTCTAACAAGTAACGCGTGTGTAAACTTCAATAAATTTACCATTTGATATTTTATGCACCATAAGAAGAGGAACGGAACCTAACTAAATTGACTAAAGCAATTTTCTACCTTTTAATAACATAAGTCATCTTTGCATATGATTTGATAAAGCAGTGGAAGTTCTAGATAGCCCAGCACTCAACCTAGTAGTCTCTAAAATTCAATAATCAATATTATGTTCACTAAACAAATTTCCTCATTGTGCCAGAAATCCCAAAACCGTCCAGCATTAACAATGGTTAAAGAAATTTTTATTAGATACAGTCTCTCTTAAAGCCATCATGGAGTTTGATTTTAGTCCGATCCGAGATCAAGACACCCATAAATAAATGTCTAACTTTATAATCATATGAAACTGATGCACAGCACAGCTCTAATGAGCAAACACTTCCTTAATCATCGTCTATTCTATAGATTTTCCATATCCAACATCATGAATGTGGTTTTTTATGTATGAGTGCATGTAAATTTGCTTTAGTGGTAATTAAAACATAGCAAAATAAGTTACCTATGCAGGGTTATAATCTTTAACTACCCCATAGGATCATCTTTCCACAAACTTTCGAAAAGAAACGAAATAAATATACACGCATAAATAACCTGAGAAACCAGGGGGCGCGAAAGGGCGATTATAGCTGGGGCATGTGCGCCCTCTTCGAGTAAATGCCGCTTTCTAAGCGATTTCAGAGCGTGTTTTATTGCTTCCGTTGTTATTTCTTCTCGGGACCTGAAAAATCAAACAAAAATATCTTAAAATACGTTCAAACCCCAAAAATCATGAAGGAAAAAAAAATCAAATCGCAAAGACGAAGGAAAAGTATACTAAAAAATGGAGTAGATACTTACATTTTGGGTATTGGATTGAGAAATCTTCGTTATCGGACTGTTTAGAAAATTTTCAGGAGGAAAATGATGATCAATAAATGAAAGTCGAAAGAAATTGAAAAGGTTACCTATAAAATCATTAGAAATAATTTATTTGGTTCTGAAATCAGAGCGCAGGAAGGATTTGATGGAGAAGGAACTCAGGAGAAACCCTAAATGTCAATTGCGGCTACGTGTGGCAGACAACTAACAGGGGTAATTTTTAGTTTGATAGAAAAAAGTATAATTCTTATAATGTTTAGAAAATTCTTATTTGTTTTATGATTTTTAGAATTTTACTTGTAGATTTAGAAAAAATATTCTATAGTTTTACATTTTATAAAGAAATAGAAAATAAAAAGTAAAATAGTTATTTAGAAATTATAAAAGAAAATACTACGGCTAGAGATCAAGAAATTAAGAATATAAAAGAATCTTTAGATTATATTAAAAATTAAAATTCAAGTATTTTAGAAAAATTGGCTAAATTAGAAAAAATACCATCTAAGGTAGATTTAACAGAAATAAAAAGAATTTTAGATTCTAATAAATCTAAAGAAATAGAAATAGGAGCTACATCAAGTGTAGAAAAAGATTTAAAATCCTTAACAACTACATTAGAAAAATTAAGTTTCAGAGATACAGGAAAAGAAAAGGTAACTAGAAAATTGCCTAAAGAATATAAATTTTCAAGATGAATACCAATTCTTTCTTAGGAAGGCCTAGAACAATAAATGAAGAACCATCTACACCTAGATACAGTACTTCAAGTATAAGTAAAAATATAATAGAAAGAGTTTTAAATAGACCGGTACAATATAATCAAAATATAGAAGAAATCATAGATCCTCAACAAGATTACCAAAGATTCCAAACTAATGGTTTAAGAATTCTTAACCCAGAAATATTATATAATAGAGGAATTTTTGAAACAATAACACAATTTTTTAGACATAGTAGAGAAGTATATGTTCAGTGTATAGGAAACCAGGTAAGAAAATTAAATTTAATATCAAAAGATTCTAAAAGAAAATTAAAAAAGAAAAACTTTAGATTTATGTATCTAGGATTAATAGTTATAGAGATAAAAGGATTAATGAGAAAAAATTTAGGATGCAAAGTTTTAGTCACTATATATGATGAAAGAATTAATAATATAGATAAAAGTATGATTGCAAGTACAGAAGTAGATATGAATAATAATAATAATGGAATAATTTATTGTAATCCAAACTTTTTATTAACCATTAAAGACTTTTCAGATAAAATTAAAATAGGAATTCAAACAAAAGGGTATGAAGAGGTAGAAAGTGGAGATAATTTATTAATTAGTATAGGATTTTTAGGAAGATGTTCAAATAACTCTCAGACAAAATATAAAATTTACATAGATAAAGTAGTAAACTTAATTAGTAGTAAAGGAATTAAAATGGTTAAACCAAAAGAATATTCATCAGAACAATTAGCAGGATTAGAATGGGATATGGATAAATTTTTAGAAAATCAAGAAACAATTATAGCACCACAGGAAGCACTAACTTATAAAGATATTCATGGAAGAACTAGTTTAAGATTTTTAGATTACAATCAGGTACAAAGACAGAATGATTTTGAAGAAGAAACTAATCCTGAAGAAGAACAAAATGAACCATTTCAAAATCAAGTTCATCTAGAATTAATAGATGAAGAACATGATAGAATAATTTATCCAAAAGAATTAGGAATGAATTTAGATAATAAAGAATTATTAGAACTAGAAGATCAAATGTACCTTAATAAAACAATTACAGAATCTGAATATTTATATTATGATCAAGAACAGAATATAAGAATATGAACCATTAAAGAAGATAATGATTCAGAAAATTCAGATTTTAGTTATATAAAAGAACTTATGGAAGACTCAAATACATATAGAACTTTTAGTGATACTCCTTTTGATAGAACAGTTAAACATGAAGCAATGATTTATAGTGAAGGATTTCCCCCAAGAGGAGCTTACCCTTTATACAATAATACAGAAGGAAAATATATAGCAAAAGGAAGTGAAAGACCCTTAGAAAAGATAATAGAATTTCAATCAGATCACAAAGCACAAATTCTAAATGTTACAGCACATGATCCACAGACATGGAATAATGTTATAGATGTATGGAAGAATACTATAATAGGCCATTATATTAGAAATTTTCAAGAAATGGAAGCCTTAGATATGTATAGATACTTAGAAACATTTTTAGGAGAAAGTGTAAAAGTTATGTGGGAAGCTTTTAAATTAGAAAAGAAACAAGAATTTGAACAATTAGTTAGTATGGGAAGTAACCCTTATAATTTTGTTAATAAAATACAGATATTAATAACAGGTTGCAGACCCTAATTCAGGACACATGAGTATACAAAGAAAAGCTATGAGAGATTTAGAACAACTTAGTCTTTACAAATGGACTAAAGGAAGATATGTTAAGAATTTTTTAAATGAATACCATTATTTAACTTCAATATTAGAAAATACATTTAATCAAGAAATAGGAAATAAATTGTTTCATAAATTACCAGGACCATTAGGATTAGAAATTACAGATAAATGGAATAATCTGCCAGCAGTTAAAGAAAAACCAGAAAAACAATGGAGTAGAGGACAAAGAATACAACATGTAATTAGATGTTTAGAAGATAAATGTGTAGAATTACAAATTCAAAAACAACTTAAGAAGACAGATTACAAATTTTGTAAAGATATTTTTACCCCACAAACTTATGGAGCCTCTAGTTCAAGAAAAAATAAGTATAGTAATAAAGAAAGAAAGAATAAAAGACATTTTAAGAAAAGATATTTTTTTAGAAAATCTAATAAAAGAAAACTATACTTAGATGAAAAAAGACATGTTAGAAAATTTAAACCAGAAAGAACTTATAAAAATTGACTTAGTTGTTACGTTTGCAATAGTAATGAACACTTATCCAAGACTTGTCCAAAAAAAAGAAATAACTATGATAAAAAGAGTACATTAATAGAATGTACTAATGAAGATTTAATACAATTAGATGAATATATTTCATATAAAGAATCTATTTATAGTATTATATCAATAGAAGACAGAGACTTTGAAAATAATAAAGAATCTGATTATGAAATAATAGATGAATTTTCTAATATAAAATTACAAGAAGAATCAGAATTAGAAGAAGAACTAAATTTAATGAATAGTATAACTATAGAATGTTTACATAATTGGCAAAAATATAAAGGAGCAGATAATATAGCTTGTTATTTATGTAACTGGTACCCAGTAAGAAAGCTTAGAGCTAAATGTTTAGAATGTTATAAAGAAGCATGTATAAAATGTTTAGAAGAAAAGAATCTTATTGAAAAAGAAGAAGTCAATTCAGAAATTTTAAAAGAAAAAACTGAAATATCAAAAATAAAAATTCTTAGGAAAAGAATTGAAAGTTTAGAAGAAATGCAGAAATTTATAATAAATAAGATAGAAATGTTAAAATATAATAATAAAAGAAAAGCAATAGAAATAGAAGAACATAGTCAAGGTATAGAATATAAAGAAAAAGAATATGTTCAAGTAATATGTAATCCAGAAAAACTTAAAAGTATTAAGGTAAAATATTATATAAGAATAGGACAATATGAAATAAAATGCCTTGGTTTAATAGACTCAGGATGTAGTAATTGTATAATTAATAAGAAATTAATACCAAAACAATACATAACATACTCAGATAAACCAATAGAAGCACAACAAATAGATGGAGAACTTTATACTTATACAGAATTATTACAATCAAATAGTAAGATTAGTTTTGAAACAAACTGTGGTACAAGTATAGAATATACCTTACCAAAAGAATCCGTATGGGTTAGACCTTTAAATATTAAGGATACAGATTTTATTATAACTAAGTTTTTTATTAAAAGACAATGGAAGAGTTACAATTACTAAAGATTTCTTACATTTACAAAAACATACCTTATTTACACCAACACAGACCACTTATTTCCCATCAGAGTGCGTAGAGAAGCATGGTGGTAGTAGTAGTAATAGTTGTAAGTGTGAAAAAGAAAGAGAATGCCAATTAATAGAAGAAGATAATTTAGAAGAAATAAATTCTGAAACTTCAGAAGAAGATAACTTAGATTTTGAAACTATAGAATTAATAGATAATGAAAAGATTTATGATATGCTAATAACAAAACAAGAAATAGAAAATTTAATTTCTAGATTAGAAAAGATGGAAATAATAGGAGAAAATGTGTTAAAATATTGGGAAAAAGATAGAATCTTATGTGAATTAAAAATCCAGAATATATAATTAAAATTAAGAACATAGAAGCAACAAATTTAGATATAGAAGATTTTAAAACACATATAAAAGAACTCTTGGAATTAGGAGTAATTAGAAAATCAGATAGGTCACATAGATCAGCAGCCTTTATAGTTAGAAAACACTCAGAAATTGTTAGAGGAAAAAGCAGAATGGTTATTAATTATAAAAGACTAAATGATAATACTATGGATGATACTTATAACATACCAGACAAGACAGTATTAATAAATAAAATACAAGAATGTAAAATCTTTAGCAAATTTGATTTAAAATCAGGATTTTGGCAAGTAAAGATGCAGCCAGAAAGTATTAAGTGGACAGCCTTTACCTGCCCAGAAGGACATTTTGAGTGGCTTGTAATGTCATTTGGAATTAAGAATGCACCAAGTATTTTCCAAAGAAAAATGGAAAGTATTTTTAATAAACATAGTAGGTTTGTAATAGTATACATAGATGATATTTTAGTATTTAGTAAAAATAAACAAGAACATAGAGGACATTTACAAATAGTATTTTCAGAATTTATTAAACATGGTTTAATAATAAGTAAAAAGAAAATGTTTTTATTTAAAGAATTTATAGATTTCTAGGGAGTTAATATAGGAGAAGGTAAAATTAAGTTACAACCTCATATTGCTAAGAAAGTTTTAGAATTCCCAGATAAATTAGAAGATTTAAAACAAATACAAAAATTTTTAGGATTGGTAAATTATGCTAGACCATTTATAAAAGATTTAGGAAAAATAGCAGGAGCTTTATATACAAAGACATCTCCTACAGGACAAAGATTTTTCAATCAAGAAGATATAAAATTAGTTCAACAAATAAAAGAAAAAATAAAAACCCTGCCAGAATTAGCTATGCCATTAGATTCAGAA